CCAGATTCCACCTGCAGTGTAGCCATGGTGCAAGGGGCTGTGATGAATTGGGGGAACCCACCTGCCTCTTTAGTTTGCTTTCCCGGCACTGGCTACCAGTGGACTTCTGTCGTGTGCCCGCTGTGTCTCCAGCAAAACCTGGGATTAGTCACAGAAGTGTACCTGCTTAGGGAAAAAGTGGTTCTGTAGTATCACTTCTCAGTTATCAGTTCTCAAAGGGTGAAGGGAGGAGCTGTCCGGGAGGTGAAGAGGCAGCCAGGCTCTGTGGCTTTGTTCCTCTGTCTGGAATGGTGACTCTAAGACAACGGACATGGCACCTAAGTACTTTGTCCCTGCCCTGGTCACTGGACGTAGCCACAGCTCATATTTCCCACCCCTCCAAGAATGCTTACTAAATCTTGTTGCTTATCCTGGCTGAAGGGAGTGCCAGTTGTGTGAAGTATCACACAACCTGATACTTCTCCTCTCTGGGTAAGTCTTATTGTGAGCTCCTGGCTGCAGGGCTTTGTCCATGACTCCTCTCAGCTTTTCTCTCTTTTTGCCTCCCTGGTTTGCTCCCACTTGCTCACCTTTAGATGTTTCAATGCACAGGTCTCTCAGAAGTGTTTGTGCACTGAGCAAGAATCCTTTGTGGAATTACAGCTGTTCAAATTGTTGAAACTTCAAGGGGAGAGACCAATGGGAATCTCACACCACTATTCCTCTTACATCACTCAATAACTTCTGATGTGTCGATGTTTAATTTTCAGAAAATTTAACTTTTTACTTTTTACTTTTTTTGTGATTATAATCTATATTTTCTTCTAAGTGCTATATAGTTTGTTTTACATTTAGGTCTACAATCCATCTTGAATTAACTTTATGTATGGTATGAGGTAGGCAGGGGTGAAGGTTTTATTTATTTCTTTTTCTAACAGCTGTCCAGTGGCTCTAGATCCATTTGATGAAAAGTCTCGCCTTTCATCAAATGCAAGTGTTGAAAATCTAATGACTGGTTAAGTATGGATGTATTTTACATTCTCCGTTTTGTTCCTTTGATTAATATGTCTATCCTTAAACCAAACGACACTCCTGTATTACTGTTGAATCATAGGAAGTCTTGAAGTCAGTTAGTATTAGTCCTCTCCCTTTTTTTTTTTTTTTTTCAAAATTCCTTTGGATAGTTGAGGTCCTGTGAATTTTCACTTAAATTTTAGGATCAGCCTCTCCATTAAAAAAAGAAAGAAAAAATGAAAACCTGGGTACTGTTTATAATTGAGATTTTATTGTATGTACAGGTGACTTGAGGTAGAAAATACACCTTACCAATATCAAGTCTTTATGATTCAACCCAGGATCGTTTAACTTCCTCTCAGTAAAATAAAAGTTTATGAGATACAGCTAAAGCAGTGAGTAAAAGAAAGGGATAATGATAGTAAGAGCAGAAGCCAATGAAATTACCATTCATTAACAACAGAAAAATTTGCAAGCCAAATTGATTCTTCAAAAAAGTTCAACAAAATCATATATCACTAGGGTAGACTAACCAAGGGGAAAAAAGATATGAATAATCAATTCAGGAATGAAAGGGAAGTTACCGCTGTGTATTCTACACACTTTAAAACACTAAAGGCATATTAGGAACAAGTTTATACTAACAGGTTTAACAATTTATAGGAAATAGTTGAGTTCCTTGAAAAGTATCGATGCAGGATGATGGAACAAAATAATAGTTGTACTACAGTTATTAAGATAATTAAGATGATGGATAAAAATATTCAAATTGGATCCCCCCTTTTTAAAAAAAGAATTATGCAACATGCCCAAGTGGAATTTATTCCACATATCCAAGCTAAACAGTAGAAAACCTGTACTATAGAATACTAGGCAGTTCATATTTATGTATCCTCCAATAAGGTGGATATTTCTCTCCACCTGTCCACTTTTTTCTTTTTGAGTCTAATTTCCATATTTCTACCAGCAATCTCTTGTCAAGTTAGGCTTTTTCTATCATGCACCTCAAAACTCTTCTAGACTTTACTTATCCACCTAGATCTAAAACCACTTTCACAATTTTAAGGATTTGTTATAGTAGAATCCTAGTTCCCAGTACAAAAATAAGTGTTGTTTATCCAGAGTAACAAAACTAATAGGCTCACACACACACGATTACAAGGAACTGGCTCACACAATTATGGAGGCTAAGAAGTCCCAAGACTTGCATTCAGCAAGAGGAAGATCTAGGAGAGCTGACAGTGTGGTTTCAGTCCAAAGGCCAGCAGGCTTGACACTCATGAGGAACAGATGTTTCAGGCTGAGTGCAAGAGCAGGAGAAATTAAAATTCCCTCTTATTTTAGGGTCTGCCTGTTCTATTCAGACCTCAGCTGATTGGATAAGGGTCACACTCATACAGGAGGGCAACCTGCTTTACTCAGTCTACCCATTTATAAAGCATCCAAAACACCCTCACAGAAACACTTGGAATAATGTTTGACAATGTCAGGGCAACTTGTGGCCAGTTAAGTTGATATATAAAGTTAACTATCACATATGCTACTATTTCTTTTATATTGTCTTAAAATCAGGATATAGCATGTTGGAAAAATTGTGCAATTTCTAAGGACTAATTCTGATTAACATTGAAAACATCCACCTTTTACATTTGTGGACCAAGTCTTAGAATTCTTTAAATTGCTTAAAAGCAGTGAATGCACACAGAATTCCACTTGTGAGCTGGTGTCCAAGGTCATTTACTTAATTCACAACTGTGTTTCTATATTACATCCCTGCTGCTGCAGAAGGCAAATCTTTTTTTCCCTTTGTACTGGAGAGTTTTGAGTTCATGTACAATTACTGATATACTTTTATTTACCTCACAAATCAGTTGGCACAAGAGCAACTGTATATTTTTCAGTAGTTTATGAACTGATTTTCTTCTGCATCCTGGAAATTGTTTTGAATCACTGAAAAGCGTGACCATGGTAAAAGTTTATTTTTATTACTCCTTTTATCCAGAACTTCTGGATTTTTCCTCAGCATCAGGTAGGTAGAACCATGGTTTAAAACCATGTTAAATTTTAGGATTTTCACTTGGTGTGCTACATGACTAGCTAGGCACAAAAATTATGGTGAATTAATATTATTAGAAGAGTGGTTAGAATTGGTTCCTGTAAGGGCAACATTAACCATATGTAGCTCAGTCAGCATATTTAATACTAAAGACACACAAAGTGCTTTCTTTTCCACTTAAGGCACTCTTGTGATGCGTGGTTCACCAATAGCCTTAGGTGTGGCCACTTATCTCTTCCCATCAAATCACAGACAAGTAAATAATTGTGCAGTACTGAAAGATCAGGTCTCAGAATTCTAGAATGACAACAGACTATTTATTGGAAGCTGCTAGCCAGAGATATACACCTTCTATAGGCTGTGAAAATATGGACAGCCTAGCTTAAGAAAATAAACTCATTGACAGTTTAATGAACTACACTAGAGCACATCTGTTGGTGAGACCAAACGTGATGGACCTCTAATGGCCAGACAATATGCAAGACTGAAAGGATGTTCATGTTCACATGTGGATGTCCAGTGAGGTCAGCACTTGTGAGTGATTACCAAGGCCATTTCACAGGAGCTTCTAGGTTTAGCTACACACAAACAACTAATTTTATAGAGTACTTTGCTGAGAAGCAGATCTAGAGCGCTTTAATTGTTAGGAAGGGGTTGCATCATGGCTATACTTATTAGTACAAAAGCTGGCATTTTAGACAAGATGAAATGAATCAATAATGTAGATCAGGCTTTGGAAAGATTTTCCTCCAAAGAGCCATACAGTAAATATTTTAGGCGTTGCAGCCATTATGTTCTTTGTTGCAACTGCTCAACTTTGCCATTTTGTGAAAGCTGTCAAAAACACTATGAGAGTGAGCGTGGCTACGGTCTAGTGGACTTTTATTTACAAAACACCTGGTGGACTGTAGTTTGCTGACCCATGCTGAAGTGGTTCACAAAATACATCCCATTTTGACTGGTGAAGAATGAATCAGGTAGGTCTGAATAGGCCTGGAGTACTGAGTTTGTTTAAGGGTCATGGTGTTTTTCATCAGCTTTAGATGGATAGAGGCAGTGTAGCTGAACAAGTCATACAAATTATGTCCTAGGAAAGAGGATACTGTAGACAGAAACATTTTCTTTTGCAAGAGTTTGTAGAAAACTGAAAAAAAAAAAAAAAAAAAAAAAAAGCAGGTCTTGGATTGATTGGGTTCATCAGGAGCCAGAATTTTTTAAGGGGCTGCAGACCTAACCTGAGGCTGTTTCACTGCCAAGTCCCAGCTTTCTGACAGAGAACTCGGCAAATATCCTCCAGGAAACACTTGTTTAGGATGGTGGAAACACCTCCTTGTTCATATCCCTGATGGATTTCTGACTTCTCCTTTCTACTGCCTCCCCAGCAGGCCTCTACCTGGAATGGGTCCTTTGTTAAAATACCTCATTATTTCATATAGGAAAAGTCACAAAAAAATTTCTGATAAGTCATATACTTTAACTCTCAGTGAAAGAATATACAGGCTGTGGCAAAAGTCAATTTATAGTTCATATGGGAAATAATATAACAATAAATAATAATACAAGAATAAACTGTTTTTCACAAACTGACGACTGTAAACCGGCTTTTGCCACCCCTCCCATATTTGTAGATATTGTTTACATCAGTGTTAATGCCTGTAGCTTGTGAGATAACTGTATTTGTGAAAAGGTATAACTCTAATGACAGCAATTTATAGGGCTGGTGCTGTCTTGATGCTTTCTTAAAACTTTAAGTCAGCCTGATAATTTAGAACTGGATTGTCTTGTGAGTTTTCTGTGTTGCAAAAAATACACATTAAGGTATCGCTATGGCAAGGACGGTAGGTCTGTAAAGGAAGTCTTTAGGTAAAACTCTGAGGAATGACTGTTGAGTAAGTTTTAACTATCCACACGCTACCTGTGGTGATTCTGACAGAGACTTTCTCTTCAGCAGAACCAAAGACAGAATTCCAGCCTAGTCTCTCCTGCCCAGTGGCCTTTTCCAGCCCACAGTTCCTCCAACAATATATGCTGTGCAGTCATCTCCTTCAGATCTTCCCAAGCTCTTCTGTAGGAATTCACTACCCAGTGGAATCTCGAAGCTGCTCAAATGTAAAAGCAGATGATGGAGAGAGAGAAGGTTCTGGCACCATGTTCCGGAGGCTGCAGCTGAGTGGGACTTCAAGAGCATTCTTTGGCCTATTTCAAGGTCAGCCAGTAGACAGGGTGGAAGGCAACAGAGGTAGAGGAATAGACCAGGGGATGACTTCTGAGAAGGCAGACACAGGGTTCACAGGGGCAGACTGCTCAGAACCTGGAGCAGTCATATCAGAAAAATATACACTAGGACATAGCACGAATTCAAGCCTCTTTAGCCTCCAGAAGCATCATGTGTGTCCTGAGTGTGGCAGAGGTTTCTGCCAGAGGTCAGACCTCCCCAAGCACCAGAGGATGCACACAGGGGAGAAGCCTTATAGTTGCAGGGAGTGTGGGCGAGGCTTTGGCCGGAAATCTTCCCTCACTGCACACCAGAGGAAACACTCAGGGGAGAAGCCATATGTGTGCAGGGAATGTGGGCGACATTTTAGGTATATATCCTCGCTCACTAACCACAAGAGGATACATTCTGGGGAGAGACCTTTTGTGTCAGCCAGGAGTGTGGACGAGGCTTTCGCCAGAAGATTGCCTTAGTACTGCACCAGAGGACACACTTGGAGGAGAAGCCCTTCATGTGTCCTGAGTGTGGAAGAGGCTTTTGCCAGAAGGCATCACTCCTGCAACACCAGAGTTCACATTCAGGTGAAAGGCCCTTCTTGTGCCTAAAGTGTGGATGTGACTTCAAGCAGCAGTCCCTGCTCCTCATTCACCAGGTCACACACTCAGGGGAGAAGCCCTATGTATGTGCTGACTGTGGACATGGCTTTCGCCAGAATGCCACCCTCATCAGACACCAGAGGACACACACAGGGGAAAAGCCATACCTATGCTCTGAGTGTGGTCGTGGCTTTCGTCAGAAGGTCGCCCTCATGGGACACCAGAGGACACACACGGGAGAAGCCCTATGTGTGCCCTGACTGTGGGAGGGCCTTTGGTCACAAGGTCACCCTTATCAGGCATCAGAGGACACACACAGGGGAGAAGCCTTACCTGTGCTCTGAGTGTGGCCGCACTTTTGGTTTCCAGTCACTCCTTATCAGACACCAGAGAACACATTTTGGGGAGGAATCTGTTGTTTATGGAGTGTGTGAGCAAAGACTTAGCCAGAAATCTGACCAGAGAACACACTCAGGAGAGAAGCCATGTGTGTGTGGTGAGTGCGGACGCAGCTTTGGCTTCAAGTCAGCCCTCATCAGACACCAGCGAACTCACTCAGGAGAGAGGCCATACATGTGTAGGGAGTGTGGTCGTGGCTTTAGTCAGAAGTCTCACCTTCACAGACATAGGAGGACTAAGTCTGGCCATCACCCCCTGCCACAAGAGCTCTTCTCCTGACTTTTCTTTTCCTATCATCCTGAGTGAGAAGATGGCCGAAGTCACTAGGAAATGCTCTACTTTCCTCAAATGCAGTAGAAGAAAAAAAATACTGTATTCTTTCATTTGTAAGATAGTGGGTTTATAATTACCTCCTGCATTAGGAATGTATTTTAATTTGCTATGGCTGCCATAATAAAATACCAGACTTAATGCCTTAAAGAACAGAAACTTATTTTCTTGCAGTTTTAGAGGCTAGGAATCCACTGTTAACATGTAAACAATTTGGTTTCTACTGAAGCCTTTCTCCTTGGCTTGCAGATGTGACTGTGCTTGCAGTATTCTGAGGTGGCCTTTTTCTGTGTGCTTTCCTGTTGTCTTTCCCTCCTGTAAGAACACTAGCTATATATTAGGTCAGTTGAGACTAGAGATGCATTTCCTCCAGACATAGATTCCTCTTCAGCTGTGAACCTATAAACCAGCCAAGTTAATCTGTTTCCAAAATACAATGGTAGGACTGGCCTAGAATTCGCATTTCCATTCCAGATGTGGAGAGAAGAAAGGATTGATGATCCCAAACAAGTTGAAAACCTAGCAAGGCAGATTGTTACGTTTAAGGCTCGAGAATGATCTTTGTGGCCAGATCCTCTGCTCTTCCAGCCCACTCCAGTGGCATCAGCAATGCTGGGCCCACTGACACCATGGAAGAAACATACTGTCCCTGACTGTTACACTCTGGGCCCACTTTGGAACTATCAGACCTCTCATCTCTGTTTCACCTTTGGGGTCATTCTTCCCTCTTCTTGATGAGTAACACATACTTGTAGTTGGATAGATCTATCCTACCTGTAGATGCCTTCATTCAGTCCCATGTGCATCACCATTAGTCCAGTCTGCCAGAGTTCCTGCTGAGATCATTGATTAGTTCCAAGGTAATTTCTTTATTAAATGACGGTGTAGCCATATCATGGTGTTCTTTCCACAATGTGCTTTCTAATTTTTTTTTGGAATCAGACAAGCTGAGATTTTCTAAATCTTCAAGTTCTGGTTCCTTCTTGTTTTAACAGTTCCTTCCATTTATGCCACTACTCTCAAATTTTACTGCAAGAAGCAAGAAGAAACCAGGCTGCATCTTCAACACCTTTTTCAGTAATCTCAGCTTAATATTTGTCACTTATGTTCTCTGAGTACCCCAAATTTCTGTGACCAGACATAAAGTCCTGCCATGAAACATGTTCTTTTCCCATGAGTGTGAAGAAGGCAGAAACTGCTAGGAAATGTCCTGCTCCTCTGAAATGGAAGGGAAGAAAAACAGTGTTGCTTTCTTTCTGTGTTCATGAGATGGTTTCTTTATGATTTACTTTCTAAGCAGTAGTCCTTCTCTGCATTGTATTTCTGTTTAATAAACTGCTTCTTTAAAAAGATCCACACCTTGTTGTGTACCTCATTCTATCAAGAACCTCAAGATATTCATCCTCTTGAAAGACATGGGGTAATAACTGTATTCTGGACTCTGGTCCTATTAAGGGGAGAACAGTGTTATAATGGACTTCATTCTTACCCCCTCCTAAGTCCTCCAAGAGACATATGAAATCCTTAGCGACACCCTCAACCTCCCCCAACAGGAGATTGAAGAGTATCTGTTAATACCAGTCCTTGCAGGTTGAGGCCCCATCCCATTAGCTGTGACTACGTGCCAGTGATTGAGCCTAAGGACTGAGAACTCTGAGCCACAACCGTCCCTAGTCTGGAGGGTCTAGAGCATGCACCTTCATACTCAGGCAGGAGGGCACTGCCCCTGTAGCCATTGCCTCTTGTGTTCTCCAATCCCCAGAGCCTAACAAGTGCCCAGCCCAAGGCTGGCCATAACCCCTTGCCTTGGGCACTGAGTGGTCATTACAGGGTGATTTAGCCCAGGCCCAGATGCTTTCCTGGCTTAGAATCCAGAAATAATAATAATTATTAATGAACTTTAATACAAAAACAAAATTTTGCATGGCAACAAATAGTATTATCAAAAGACAAGTGACTGGAAGAAAAATATATAACAAATCAACATATTTCACAGATAATGGGTTAATAGCCCTATTTTATAGGAACTTTTAAAAATCAAGGGAAAAAGACCAGAAATTCTAAAGAAAATTGGGCAAGAAACATGTTCAGTTTACAAAAAGAGGTAAAAACAAATGAAAAGATATTCAACTTCACTCATGATAAGAAAAATGCAAATTACAACTTCACGGAAACAGCATTTCCAGAGGGCAATTTGGAAATATTTAAACTATCTATGTACCTGTTGACACAGCAAGCACACTTCTAGAATCTATTGTGAAGGGTCACTTCCACTGTTAGGAAATACACATGCACATGGTTATCATTCACAGCATTATTTATAGTTCCAAAATGTTGAATATTACTTTAATGTTTAGCATAGTAAATTGTACAAATGAACATACAAACAATGGAGTAAAATGCAGCTGAGAAAAACACTGAGAACAAGATAGTAGAGAAACACTATGGAGGAAATGTTACTAAATGAAAAGAGCCAAGTGCCATGAGCATACATAATTTTATACCTTTTGTTTAAGAAAAGGGGAAAATTGACATACTATCTTACCTATGACCTTAGTCTTGGGCAGTTTATTGTGTGTTAGAACTACAAACAAATCCTAAACTCTCTAGTAGGTTTGTTTCTTGTAGCAGTATGGTTGAGCAATTCTGAAGCTATTTTGAATACAATATAGGATTGAACAAATGTCTGTGTTGAGACACAGGGTTCTCACTGTGGAAGGAAAGTCACCCAAACGAGATCGGGCGCGTTCAGGGTGGTATGGCTGTAGACACACCTAAAACAAAAGCAAACTAAAAGGCAGCACAATGGAAACAGAAATGAAGATCTCAAGGAGGGTTAGCAACAGGGGAGTGGGAGGAGGAGATGGGGGAGAAGGACAGAAAAAAGAGAAGACAGTAGAAGAAAATAAGGGGGGCAAGAATAGCATGGGAAATATAAACCTAAAGATACAATGACATAAACTAAAGGGGGGTAAGGGTGGGGATGGGGAGGCAGGGTGGAGGGGAATGAAGGGGGGAATAGAACAACTGTAACAGCATAATCAATTTAAAAAAAAAAAAAAAAGAAAGTCACCCAGATGTAGAATGGGATGAAGCAAGAATAAACCCTGTAAGGATAAGCTGGAATTGTATGTACTGGTGAATTTAAGATTCCTAAGAAATTTGTACATGTGTGTCTGTATGTGTTTATGTGCTCATGCATATTCATGTGTATGTGTATATACTTATGTATATGTTCTACTTCTGTCTGTGGAAAGGACCAAGAAGCAAGGACAATTCAGAAGCAGTGAGCACATCGACTATCCATATCTTATTTTCAAATACCATTTTCCCTCTTTGGAAACCCTGGCCTCTTGAATTAATTGCCACTTCCAGGGTTGAAGCAGGTATAAGAGGGTTGAGGTAGGTATAAGAGGATCCCAAAACATCTAGTAACACCAGACAGAAAGAAGTGCTTAAAAGAAACATGAAAGAGCATGACACTAAAATGCTGGAGCCAGTTTGAAGGCATTCCCACCCACTGGACACATCTGGGACAGTTCAAGCATAAACTAATTTGAGTACACTGAGTTACAGTCCATTAGGGGAAAGAAAGAGAAACTAATGAGTCTATAAAATAACATATAAGTGAATGAAGTCTGTTGTTTATAGTACAATGCCAAGAGCAAATGGTAATTTATATTTTCTCCAAATATAAACACCTTACGTAATCATAGTACATTTATTGAAGTTACAATTTAACATTGAGAAACTATTAGGAACTTCATACTGTGTTTGAATTTTTCACTATTGTCCCTTTTATAATCTAAAATACCAGGTAGAACCTCACATTGTGTTTAGTCATCATATGTCTTTAGTCTCCACTAATCTGTGGCAGTTCTTCAGTCTTTCTTTGTCTTAAGAGATATGGTCAGGTATTTTATTGAATGCCTTCAATTTAGGATTGTGTGTTGTTTTATATTATTAGATTCAAATTATGGATTCTCTTAAAAAACACAGAAGTGAAATGTCATCACTGTATCTCATTCGGGGATACATGATGCCAAAAGAATTTATTCCTAGTAATGTTAACCTTCCAAGAGCTGGAAATTAAGTTCTCTCTCCTGCAGAGTGGACCTTGTGACTAGAAGAGCAACACAGTGACAGTGGTCCTTACATTCCTCCTCCCCACAAAAGAAAGTGGCCCAGTCTATCTTGGTTCCCAAACTATCCTAGGTATGTTTATTCCTCCCTAGATGAGGTCTAAGTGATGCTGATAACACCAGGTGAGCCCAGCAGCACCCGCAGGTGGAACTGATTAAGAACCCCTTCTAACAGTGGTGAAGGGAAGTCCTCTGTTTTTTCATAGGATTGACATTTCTCTTACCTTGATACAGAAGGCAGTTAGGTGGCACCAGCCAGGGGAATTCTGCCACAGAAATACCTGTCCTGGAAAGTGTTCTTTATCCCCACAGACCTGAGACTCCCCACCTAAATGCAAGGCAACTGGCAGCCAGTTGGTACCAGAATGACATTCCCCATACACTTGCCCAGCCCAATGAGACTCCTGTCCCCTGACAGACATCCAGTGGCCAGGAGGCACGGGGCAGTAGAATCCTGACACATCAGTGGCTCAACTTGTGAAGTTTTTCTTTTCTTTGAGGCTAGAGTATCCATTTCCCTATCTAAAGACAAAGCAGCCTGTTTTAGAGAAGCTCTTAATGCACTTTCCAATAGTAGCAGAGAAAACTTTGAGTAATAGTACCCTAGATAGTGTGGCTCAGTGGACTGAGTGAGGGCCTATGAACCAAAGGATTGCTGGTTTCATTCCCAGTCAGAGCACATGCCTGGATTATGGCCAATTCCCCAGTGGGGGTCATGCCAGAGGCAAATACACATTGATATTTCTCTCCCTCCCTTTGTTCCTTCCCTTCTCTCTAAAATAAATAAAATAAGGTATTTGTCCCCCACAGACTGGCTTAATTCACTTAGCATGATGCTCTCCAGTTCCATCCATGCTGTCGCAAAGAGTAGGAGCTCTTTTCTCTCTCTGCTGCATAGTATTTCATTATGTAAATGTACCATAGTTTTTTGATCCACTCATTTACTGATGGGCACTTGGGTTGCTTCCTGCACTTGGTTATTGTAAATAATGCTGCTATGAACATAGAGATGCATAAGTTCCTTTGAATTGGTGTTTTTGGATTCTTAGGGTATATTCCCAGCAGTGGGATTGCTGGGTCAAAAGACAATTTCATTTTTAGTTTTCTGAAGAAATTCCATACTGTTTTCCGCAGTATCTGCACCAGTCTGCATTCCCACCAACAGTGCACTAGGGTCCCCTTTTCTCCACATCCTCTCCAACACCTGTTTGTTGAATAGTTTATGATGGCCATTATCAGCCATCATAAAGTAGTATCTCATTATGGTTTTAATTTGCATCTTTCTGATGGCTAGTGATGCTGAGCATCTTTTCATATGCCCTCTGTATGTCCTTTTTGGAGAAGTATCTGTTCAAGTCTTTTGTCCATTTTTTAATTGGATTGTTTGTCTTCCTGGAGTGAGAGAAAAGCAAGCAAAATATAACCAGAGATATTGAAATTAAGAACAATCTGACAATAACCAGAGAGGAGGTGGGAGGGGATAATAGGGTGAAGGGTGTTCAGGAACAAGTATAAAGGAGACATGGACAAAATCAGTGGGGTCGGAGGTGGAAGAAAAAGGAAGGGGGTGTGTTTGGCTGGAGTAGGGTGAGACTAGTGAGAGGTAAATGCGGACAACTAATTGAACAACAATAAAATAATTTTAAAAATAAATAAAAGCACAGATGTTAACTCAAAAAATAAAATTAAAAAAAGATTAAAAAAGTGCCAGTGAGGAGTCTGGCAAGATGGCGACAGAGTAGGATGGAGCAGATTCCAGTTCCTTGTACACAAGGGAGAGAAACCTGTGGGCGGAGGAGAAGCCAGCAAGCCAGCAGTTGCCCAACATATATGAAAATAAGGGACCAGAAATCTCCACGGTCACGGAGGAACCAGAGAGTAGGGAGACAGCAGCAGTACAGTAGAGTCTCAGAGATGGAGCAAAGAGAGGAACAGCAGGGAATTCAGGGGGTGCACAGTCCGGGGACCGGTGCTTGGCGCATGGCACCCCTTGACGAGCGCCCAGCGTTCTGGACCAGTGCCCCGTGCAAATCCCTATTTTGGATTCTTCTGGAGGTTGGGGTCTGCCAAAACAAAGACAGGAGCTGAAGAGATTTCAGCTGGTGCATGGTCAGGGGATCAGTACACACCCTGCAGACGTGCGCACAGCATTTCGCAGGCGCCCAGTCCTCAGATTGGCTCCCAGCTTTCA